CCCTAGCCAGCCCCACTAGGCATGGAAACTGTGCTGAGCAGCTCAAACAGGCAAGCCCCATGAAACAACCCTATTTTTGCGAAATAGGGTTTCACGACTGTGGATTGGTTTGCAGCCTTGTTGATGTTGTCTCAGGCCCTAGCCAGCCCAAGTAGGTCAGGAAACTGCGCCTTGCAGCTCAATTAAACATAGACCACCCCCCCTCAAGAGAACACTTTTTTTTCAAAGGCTTTGGAGCCACCCACCCGCTCACTCGTGCCAGCCAAGCACAAGCAAACCCCGATCAGCCACGTCCCTCCCAAGGGGTGCGTGTGCTGGTTGGGTCAAGAAGACAGATAGACAGACAGACAGAGAGACAGAGAGACAGCCCACCCAGCCAGCCTGCCAGGAGCCAGGCAGGCAGACGAGGTGACTGAAATTATTCAAATTAAACGAGGCGAGGTGAATAATTTCAAAACATTGAATTAAGACGAGGTACGAGGTGAACGAAATTAATGAAATTAGTTTAATTCACCCAGATCCATTCCACACCCCAGGGTTTGGTGATTCACTCCTTCATCAACCGTGCGGACGTGGTGCTGGGCTCAGAGCGACCGGAGACCGACCGAAAAACGGAGGACGACCGAAAAACCGCCAGGTCCCTCGAGCGAGCCTGGCCAACGTGTTCCACCTCGGCAGCCGGGCGAAAGGGCCGTTGTTGGTGGTCTAAACAGGTGCCACGGAGGACTGGTTTGGGCACCATTTCCTTTAATCTCCCAGACAAGATGAAGATGAGTAATTCACAGCCACGGTTTGATTCGCCACACTGTTTGTGGCTTTCTTGGATATTGAGGGGTGCAGAAAAGCGATACAAAATGATACAACAATAATCAACAAGGTATATTAATATCTATATATACATAATAGAGATTGTTTAAAGATCTTTAAAGTTCACTTCTGAGCTGTTTGATCAAGCCGTAAATATATTTTTTTTGAGGCTTGGAAGCTATGGCCGTTGATGGGCTCGACCTGGATTTCCAACATCGCTTCAATTTGATGCGAAGAGATGCCTCTCCTGAGAATGAAGAGGAAAACAAGGCTCCGTCCATCACCATCACCATTTCAGTTCTTTTTTATGCAAGAATCGCTTCGATCTCATCCGCCATTGACCTTGCAACGTGAAAAAGAAGCTGCACACGTTCCGTGCTCCGTCCTTCGTTCCGTTGGACTTCGCATCCCCTCCAGGCCAAGAAGAGGATCGTGGAGGCGGTGAAGGAGTGTCAGGAAGCTCGACATGCGAAGCCTCACGAGTCGGGGAGCCTCACCGAGGGCGACCGAGGTCGGCGGCCGCGAGCGAGACACGTGAGACACGGTGAAAGCCTCACGTCCGGAAGAGGTGAAAGAGCCGAAGCAAACACTAAGGTTCAATTGTATGGTTCAATATGGTTCAATAAGGTGTGGTTGTTTGTGTGTGTGTGTGTTTTTCTTTGTTCTTTTTTTCAGGCGGTTACAGTTCCTGACTTACTGTACTTGTACCAGCTTGTACCACCGACTCCGACTATCAAGGGGTTCTGTGATATTGTGAGAGTGTGTGTGTGTGTGTGTCGTTGTTTTTTGCGCAACTTGCAAGGTCATTTCCGCCCTTGTTTGTTGCTGGCCAGGCACGCAAGACGAAAAACTTGTAGCGTCTGGTAGCCAGAACACAGCCAATTCAGATGATGAGGAGGTCGTGACGCGAATTCTGCCAGGTGTACTGGATCGAATGGCTTGGTCAAGAAGGAAGTGTGCAGGACCAAACAGAAAGCGAGAAACTGTACAGTGGTTTCGGAGTATATATAGATGGCACAAACCAGAGTAGATGGCTTTAACCATGCACAGACCATAGTGGGGTCCATATTAACCACCAACATTGGGGTAACTTGTGCCATCGAACCTCTGAAACCACGGTCATTTTCAGCTGACAAATCCACCTGAAGACCATGGTCTAAGGCTTTCCAAGTCAGCTGTGTGGTGCTACCATTGCTATCAGGATGCAAAGAATGACACCGCAGAGAGGGCGCCAAGGACACCAGCGGTGGCTTAAGCGCTCCTGCTTCTAGGGAGAAGCGCTGCTATGACGAGCTCCCAAATGTTCAAATCACCCCAGAAAGCTTTGAAACCCAAAAGCCGTGGTGAAAGTTCCAGAAAGAACCTCCATCCACCACTCAAGAGTGGCTGGCGTGGTGTTGGTCGGCAAACGGGGACACAACATCACATCCAAATCCGTTTTCCGCACGAAAAAGCAAGATCAAAAGCCCAAAACTGTCAGCCTTGGAGCTTCCATCCGGGGGTGACAACACAGCGCTCGGCAGGATCCACCTGTCGTCCGCCAGGGCCTTTCAGTGTCTCCCACGGAGCTTGACGCGTAAACCGCGGCGTTGAGACGTGGCGTTGAGACGCGCCGCACGAGTCGGGGATGGACTTCGAGACCAGTTTGGAAGTCGGAGACCTCAAAAAATACCCGTCCATAGTCACTACAGCAGTCACTACAGGGCTTCTTTAGGTGACTAAAAGACCGAAATGGAGAGCAGACCGATGTGGGCAGCCAGGGCTTTGCTGATGCGGGGAGGCACCAACGCGCTGAAAGATCATTTGTCAGAAGCTTAGCGTCCTCAGACCTTCAACAAATACATGCAACCGGCAACAAGTAGATGCTGCTGCTGTTGAAGCAAACAATTCTAATACAGCTACTCATCCATGAAAGATCCTGGAACGATTTGGTGCTCGTATTGTCATAGCTGTCATGGTGTCATAGAACAGGACAGGGGGTCCGACCGAGACGTAAGGGGTGACCACTGAGGGTGGCCACTGTAGAGAAACAAATCTCATACTGTTGCAGGTGTGGAGGCTACAAAGAAGGCCTCGAAGGCTACAAGAATCACCTGAAGGCGCATTCAGTTCCGAGCGTTTCTACAAACATGGACAGCGAGCATCAACATGCTCCAGCAGAGAGGGCAAGCTGTTCTCAACATGCAGGCCAGTGGAGGGTGCAACTGCACAATAGCTTGATTGCCAGCAAAGTTCTGAGAAGAGCGAACTGAAAGACTGACCAGCAGAAATCAGGAAAAAGGCGATTTGACATCACAGCTATCCACTGTGCGGCTATAGTGACTATGGCTCAACTCCCCTTCGCTCACTGGGCTCAAGAACACCCAACGCGGCTGGTCTCCTTTAGTCATGTCCTCAAAGCAGCATCGCAATTGAAATATTATGTATTTGTCTAACCTATGTCTTTAATATTTTCTATAAATGAAAGAATTTAAACTATATAATATGTTCTACAATGTTCTACATATATGGTATTGGAAAATTATCGATATGTCCATAATGTGTTTAGCGATTCATTTGTTTTTCCTTCGAATAGAAATAGACGATTATTCGATATTTGTTATATCTCGATGTTATTTATTAATTAATTTCTGTATATGAATTTTGATTTAATTAGCCCAGCTGGAGACCCCAATAGCAAGATACAAACCGGGACAAAAAACAACATCTGGAAACAACTGCTGTTTTCAACACATCGACCATCTCTTACCTGGACCCATCATCACATAACCGGGCCACCATCACAACATGACCGGGGCACCATCAAAACATGACCGGGGCACCATCCCAACATGACATGACCGGGACACCGTCAAAACACGCCCGGCACCCCATCACAACACGACCGGCACACCAGTCACAACATGACCGGGACACCATCAAAACATGACCGGGACATCACAACATGACCGGGACACCATCACAACACGACCGGGACACCAGATCACATGACAGGGACACCACAAAATGACAGGGACACTATCACAACATGACCGGGACACCAGCACAACACGACCGGGACACCATCACAACATGACCG